GGGGGGGGGCGGGGGGAGAGAAGAGAGAGGTTTAATTCCCTAAACTGGGAAATGCAATCCTTTCATTTTTCTGCTCAAAGCTCATTTTTCTGCTCCTGGCTTTCTGAATTGTGCCAGACTGCCAAAATAAGGGAGAAGAGAAGGCAGATCTGCGGATGCACACCACCACCTACAGGTCACCCACCCAACGAGGATCCCCGCAACAATCTCTCGCAGAAAAGGAGGCCAGAAGAGCCGTGGGCTGGCCAGACCTTGCCACCCTGGGAGGACACCACTGAACAGCACTGTGAGCAAACATACGGAACAGGAGGCTGTGCTCCCCGTGCATTGCTCACCCCCCTTATTGCAGCCCCTTCACAGGTAACAGATCTCCGGATCACATCACTACGATGCAGGGTGAAGAGCTCTGCCTCTGCCCAGCTCTGCCTGGATTTGGACTCTTCTTTCCTCTCGTGCAACACAGGTGACAACACCTGCCTCCTTACATCAGGTGCCTTGAAATCCTCATGCTCAACAGGAGGTTTAGGCTGCAGTGGTCAAAGCCTGGGAAACAGCAGTCTAACAAAGCCTGGGTAGCTTCAATTGGCTATGAGATCTGTCCCCTTATCCTAAACCCCCATTCCTGCAGACTGACACCACAGGGGCTGGTGGAAGTTGGGGTGAGTCCTGCTGGATTAATATGAATTCTTTATTACAACCAATCGAATTCCCAGTATCACTCGCCCTTAGTCTGGCTCAACAGACCAGTGATCAAGCTTGTCCCAGCCTGGAAACAAAAGCATCAGATCATGCACAAGCAGCCCAGTTTCACTCCATGAATCAATGAAGAGAGGGCTAGCAATGTAGTTGCAGTCTCCACAGTCACAGCAAACGCTGCATTACCACTGTCATTATGGGCTTGAAACCAGTAACACCAGGCTATGAACAAAGGCCAGCAGTCAGCATGTTGAAGTTGCCCCAGCATCTCACCTGCCTCAACATCCATTAGCATAGATTTGAAGGTGGGGATGTAGCTGCTCTCGACTCTCTCCAGCACCTCCATCATGTTCCTGACCTTCCTTGTTCTCAGCTGATTGTAAATGCACTCAAGGTCATCACACCTACAGCAACAAAGACACATTCCAAGCTCACATTGGGGAGCATCAGATGTGCACATACATCATCTCTTTTCCCTGAGCCTGATTCAGGATTTCCTCCAGCTACACACAGAGTCCCAACGGTGAAAGTAAATGAGAGGAAGCTCCTGCAGGAGGCATGGACAAGCCCTACAGGACAGACAGCTGGTGCTGGGGCTCACCATGACAGCAGCCCTGCTCCTGGCAGGACACTGCTGAAAGAAGCCAGAAGGTGTTTCTGCAGGCAGTAGTGACAGCTCTGCAGCAGGCAGGGCTTTGTGGCACAAAGGTTTTCAAAGAGCAGGAGTAAATTCCATTCCCTGCCTCTTGAGCATCTAAACTCCCTTGGGCACTGACAGATGAACAGCAGCCAGCTGAGCTGCACCATTTCCAGAAGGCCCTATAGGTGTTCATCAGCTCTTACTCTTGTGACTGGTTCCTAGTGAACAGTGATAGAAAGAGCATTTCCCAAAAACTGTCCTCAAGGTGTAGCCCCCCGGACTGGGACTAAGTTAAACCACAGCCTTCTGCCCAGTGACCTCCCAGACACTTTGCAGATCATGATTATTTTATGCGCGGGAGCAGTTTTGCTTAGCTCAAGTCTTTACATAAACCAGAGGCAGCCTGCTCTTCTCAGCTTGTAGAAGTAGCAGCTCTTTCTGCCACCAGCACTCTCCTTCCACCTAAAACCAGTGTCAGTGACCACCATGCCCTGGCCAGGCTGCCCAGCTACCTGTTCTTCCAGAACTCCAGTTCCACCTTCGGGTTGGGGTTGCTGCCTTGCAGGAGAGGCTCTGAGGACTCTTTCTTCAGTGCTTCCTGGATCTGGTAGCTCCAGTCTATGATGGCTGACTCGGTGGCATGTACAAGACATTTATCTATCAGCTCCAAACTGCAGAAAAAAAACCACACAATTAACTTTGTTTTCCACTTGTTGATGTGCATTGTTCAGTTGGATCTGCTGCAAATGACCCCATGGATTTTACAGATTATAGTCGAGGTTCACATTTGAAAACCACAAACCAACCAAAACCCGTAAGATTTTGCCATTATTTTAATACAGGAATTACACCCTGGAGGAAATGGATGAAGCTCTGCAACAGTGTGGGCAACAACGGAGGCGAGGAGGGTGCCCAGCAAGCTGGCTAGCCTGGACTTCAGGAGAGCAGACTTTAGCCTCTACAGGGAACTGATTGGAAAGGTTCCTTGGGATGAAGCCTTGGAGGGAAGAGGGGCCCAGGAAAGCTGGCAAGTATTAAAGGACCTTCTCCTCCAAGCTCAGGAGCAATGCATCCCAACGAAGAGGACGTCGGCTAAAAGCAGCCACAGGCCTGTGTGAATGAACAAGCAGTTCCTGGACAAAGTGAGGTGAAAAAAGGAAGCCCACAGTGGGTGGAAGCAGGGACAGGGAGCCTGGGAGTATTACAGAGAAACTGTCAGAGCAGCTAGGGGTCAGGTTATTAAAGTTAAAGCCCTGATAGAATTAAACCCAGCCAGGGACATCAAGGCCAACAAGTAGGGCTTTAATAGGTACACAGGGGATAAAAGGAAGGTCAGGGAAAATGTGGGCCCTCTGCAGAAGGAAACAGGAGAGCTGGTTTCCCAGGATATGGAGAAGGCCCAGGTGCTCAATGGTTTTTTTGCCTCACTCTTCAGTGGTAAGGACATGAGCTGTACCCCCAGAGTCACAGAA